GCTGAGGGTGGTGGGGGGTGAGGCTAAGGGTGAAGGGTGGTGGTGAGGCTGAGGGTGGTGGGGATGGTGAGGCTGAGGGTGAAGGGGGGTGGTGAGGCTGAGGGTGGTAGGGATGGTGAGGCTGAGGGTGAAGGGGGAGTGAGGCTGAGGGTGAAGGGGGGTGGTGAGGCTGAAGGGGGTAGTGAGGCTGAGGGTGGTGGGGTAAGTGAGGCTGAAGGCAGGAGGCCTAGGGTGGTGGGGGGCTGGTGGGAGGCCGAGGGTGAAGGGGTGGTGAGGCTGAGGGAGAAGAGGGTGGTGAGGCTGAAGGGGCAGTGAGGCTGAGGGTGGTGGGGGTGGTGAGGCTGAAGGGGCAGTGAGGCTTAGGTGGTGGGGGGGTGGTGAGGCTGAGGGTGGAGGGGGTGGTGAGGCTGAAGGTAGTAAGGCTGGTGGGGTGGTGAGGCTGGAGGTGAAGGGGGGTGGTGAGGCTGAGTGAAGGGGCAGGAGGCTGGGGTGGTGAGGCTGAGGGTGAGGCTGGGGTGGTGGAGAGGCTGGGTGAGGCTGGTGGTGAGGCTGAGGCGACAAGGGTGGTGAGGCTGAGGTGAAGGGGGGGCGGTGGGAGGCTGAGGGGTGAAGGGGGGTGGTGGAGGCTGGAGTGTGAAGGGGTGGTGAGGCTGGGGTGGGTGAGGCTGAGGCTGGGGGGTGGTGAAGGGGGTGGGGAGGCTGAGGGTGGTGAGGCTGAAGGGGGTAGTGGAGGGCCGAGGTGGTGGGGTGGTGAGGCTGTGGGTGGTGGGGGCAATGAGGGGTGAAGGGGGGCAGTGAGGTTGAGGGTGGGGGGGCAGGAGGCTGAGGGTGGTGGGGGTGATGAGGGGCTGAGGGCATGGGGGCAGGAGGCTGAAGGGGGTATTGAGGTTGAGGGTGGTGGAAGTGGTGAGGCTGATGGTGAAGGGGGTGGTGAGTCTGAGGGTGGTGGGGGTGGTGAAGGTGAAGGGGTGTGGTGAGGGTGGTGGGTGTGGTGAGGCTGAGGGTGGTGGGTGTAGTGAGGCTGAGGGTGAAGGGGGGTGAGGTTGATGGGTGGTGAGAGAGCTTACCTTCTCTTCCCTGGTGGTCCAGTGGGCTCCCTGGTGGTCCGATGGCCATTGCTTCCGGTCTGCAGCTCCGCAGAGCTGCAGACCATGTAATCTCGCGAGATGTCAGAGCGTTGCCGTGATAACCCACGGCAACGCTCTGATTGGCCAATTCTCGCGAGACACATGGTCTGCAGCTCTGCACACTGTGGAGCTTCAGACCTATGTCTGTGATGGTGGCCGGGCTGCCAAGAGGGGCCTCGCACACGGCGGCATACCGGGCAAGCCGTCGGGCCCCCTCCTGGTGTCACTGACTGAGGACCTGACACGGTCTGCCCACAGGTGGTTTAGGCGGCCGCGAGGCCCCAGCCAGCGCGAGGCCTTAGGAGGTCGCCTAAACCGCCTAATTAGAGAGCCGCCTCTGATGCACAGTAACTTTCAAAACACTTTATAGGTTGTAAAGAACTGAAAATTATTTGTTATGTTTGCAGCATATTTACTGAAATCAAACT